ATACCTATTTCCTCAATCCTACATCCCAATTTATTTCCCATATATGCCCCATTTATTTAACCATTAACCATTATTTCCCCATTTCCTAAACCATAATTTACCCATTTCCTAAACCATTATTTACCCATTTCCTTAACCATTATTTACCCATTTCCTTAACCATAATTTACCCATTTCCTAAACCATAATTTACCCCTTTCCTAAACCATAATTTACCCATTTCCTTAACCATTATTTACCCATCTCTTTAATCCTTCTCTCACCGCCTATCCTAATACCCCCCTTCCCCCTCACCTCCTACCCCTGACTCCTCACCAAACCAAAATTAACCTAACCTAAGCAAACCCAACAACACTTAAGCTAATTTAACCTAACTTAACAATATCTGACTTAACAAAACCTAACCTAACCCATCATAATCCAACCTAACCTAACCTAACCTAACCCACCCTGGTCAAGATCTTCCTAGTGTAATCGTTTGTGTTTTTGTTTAGTTTTATTTTTAAGTTTTTTCTAAGTGTGTGTGTGTGTGTGTGTGTGTGTGTGTGTGTGTGTGTGTGTGTGTGTGTGTTTATAAGTTTTTGTGGTTAGATTTTCTGTAGGTTTGAGTTTTTGTAATTTTTATGGATTTGCGTTTTTGTAATTTTTATGGATTTGCGTTTTTGTAAATCTGTGTTTTTTATTTATTTTTTTATTTACGTTCGTGTAATAATTTTTCTTTTGTTTACTTTAAGTTTTGGTATTGACTTGTAATTTATTTTTTTCAGTTCTACGATTTATTTTTAATGCGATTTTTATATGATATATGATTTTACATTATATATATATATACATGAGGTAGAGTAAACGATGTATATAGAGGAATGTGTATAAAAGGAGGAGAATAACATACATCTGATAACTGTAGGAACTAAAGAAAAGGAGAACAAGAAACAACAGATGAAAAATGTTAAAGGAGGAAGATAAATGAATAAGAAGAGAGAGAGAGAGAGAGAGAGAGAGAGAGAGAGAGAGAGAGAGAGAGAGAGAGAGAGAGAGAGAGAGAGAGACCAAAAGGGCCTCCAACGTTAAATAATTAAAGAGACGCTCACGGGACAGGAATGTGAGGAGAAGGGGAAGGAATAAACACGAACGATAATTGAAAAGACAAACGTAAAGTCAAACAAAGAGGAGACGAGTTAATTATAAGAGAGTTTAATTAAGCAAGGAGGAGTTGCAACGCACACAAACGCCCATGGGAATACACACACACATACACGCGCACACACATACACATAAACGCACATAACATATACATCCACACACACAGACAATTCCTCCCCCACACACACACATACCCACACAGAAACAAACATACACTCACACATCCCCACCCAAATTCCACAAGTACCCACACCCATACCTATGTACACCCACAACCATCCACACACAAGCTCACCCACACCTCACCACAATAAGAGGTTCTCCTGACACCAGACAGATCGCCGACCATTCATAGCCTCACCCTCATAGTGTTGGACGTAATGTAACAAAAAAAACACAAAATCACAGGAGATTAAACCCGAGCGGGTGGCTTCCGACGGCTGACTCACACTCGCATTCACCCACAAAGAAAATATTTAATGGTCCACTTTAATTGTCGACGATGGTAATAAACTTGTCAGGAAGACGCCATGGAGGCACGCACCTGGCCGCTTTCGTTCCCCAGGACACAAGACTTCCCTTGTCTGCTTTATACTAGATAATACTTGGTTTAAAAACACGTGATTCTTGACGATTTTTTTCCCTAGGACACGAAACTTCCCTTGTCCGTCTTAAATTACATAATACTTGAAAAAATAAGGGAAAATTTGGGGGTTCTTTGTTTCCCAGGACACGGAACTTCCATTATTACCTTCACGCTATATAATACTTGAAAAAATAAAGTTAATACGATCACCATGGTTACAAAATACCTTCGTAAATATATATATATTCTTGAAGGACAAATAAATTGATACATTCCTGACAACGAATTATTGTAATTATGAAAATAAATTAATATGTTCTTATCGTCAGTAAATATTTTCTTAATGATGTCTTTATTTTATTTCATGGAAGGAAATTCTTGCGGCTTGATTAAGACCAGATAAGACTTTTAAGTGTTAATGGGAAAATTTATAAGTAAAAGAGATTTTATTATAAGTATTAAGTGGGTAAGTTTGTAAGTATCAAGTGGTTAAGTTTGTAAGTTTTAAGTGGGTAAATTTCTAAGTGAAAAGTACACAAATTTATAAGTGAAAATTTGTATTAGTTGATAAATTTATTAGTAAAACGTAGTTAAATTTATAAGTAATTAACATCGAAACACCTCACCTCACGTCACCTCACCTCACCTCACCTAACCTAACCTAACCTTCCACCTTACACAAGAAACGTGTAATTCTCTTACCTATAACAACTACAAAATATAAATAAACTAAAAATAAAACAAGATCATTAAAATTCTTTTAGCCAAAACAGAGTATATTTTCGTAACTATAAATTAGGTTTTTTCTTCTGTTTTTCATGACACGAAGCTTCCACGAGGGTCCCCCACACAGACACACGCACAAGCACACGCACATACACACACAGACACGCACGCACACACACACACACACACACACACACACACACACACACGCACGCACGCACACACACACACGCACAAGCACACGCACGCACGCACACACACACACACACACACACACACACACACACACACACACACACACGCACGCACACACACACACACGCACACACACGCACGCACGCACACACACACACGCACGCACGCACACACACATACACACACACACACACACACACACACACACACACACACACACTAGTCGAGCAAACATGAAGTTGTAGTCTTTCCTGGAAGAGATCGTGACGTTTCTGTATAAGAGGTGGGGTATTATTGTTATTATTTATTATTGTTTAGTAGTAGTCCCGCTCGCCCCGTGGCCAGCCCCGCCCTGCCCAGCCCAGCCCAGCCCAGCCCGCCTCGCCCAGCCCGGCCCGGCCCCCCCTCGCATCGCCTCGCCCAAGATGTGTGGGTTGTAGGAAAGGGACCAGCTGTTAAAATCCCTACGGCAGAGATCCATCACCTGATGACGACATGTCAGATGATAGTAGTAAACCCAATCAGTCGGAAAATACTGTTCATGAGGTGAATGACAAACAGTCAACAAATTGGAAAGGCTTGTCGGGGGACGATGCGGAGAAATGGGTCAAACAAGTCTACTCAGAAGTGGTCAGGAGGTCGCCAGCTAACCTCTTTGAACTAGTCAAGTGTGAGGCTACCAAAGAAATGATCCGGGAGATGACTTGCCTCATAATCATTTACACTCACGACTCCTCTTGGCCCCACTAGCTCTTCAAATACCGGCCATAATACTCCATCATTCTGTTAGAGGATACACGCAAGGTCAAAGTGTAAAGAAAATGTGGCAGCAATGAAGAGAAGACTGACAATGTGGCAGAAAGGAGCCCTTGATGATCTACGCGAAGCAAGAACACTGCAGGAGAGTCTAAAATTCATAGGAGACGGAAAAGGAGACATTGAGGATGTTGCCAGAAATCTTGGTAACAAGATGCGAGAAGAAAAAGTGTCCTTGGCGGTAAGATCTCTCACAGAGGAATCTTCCGGTGGTGTTCTGCCAATAAACAGAGGGACATTACAACAACTAAAGGGACCATGTCACCGTAAACTAGCTCTCGATCCTACACACAGGAGGAACGAGAATGACAAGATCAGGGCATATGGGGAGAGAATTCTGAATGTTGATCAGGGCAGCTTCACTCCTCTGGTGTTCACAACCTCTGGTGGGATGGGACCAAGTGCAAGATGTTTCTATGCCAGACTCGCGGAGGTGTTATCTGAACAGAAGCAGCAGCCCAGAAGCCACGTTACAGCCTGTCCTTCTCTCTACTTAGATCTGCATTGCTCTGCCTAAGGGGAACGAGAGCATCGGCCCCCAAGCCGACAACGGTCGCAAATATCGACTATGAGGCAATAATCACTGAATGCCCGATAGATCTGCGGCTCAACTAACTCAACACAGCTAGGGTAGCTACTTATGTATTAGGGTATTTAATTTTAAGACAATAAAATGGCGGCGAAGGTGTGGCCATTGGGGAAGGCTGGAGGCCACGTTAAAACAGTAGTAGTAACAGTAATAGTAATAGTAGTAGTAGTAGTAGTAGTAGTAGTAGTAGTAGTAGTAGTAGTAGTAGTATGTTAGTAACAAGTAGTAGTCGTAGTAGTAGTAGTAAAGCAAGCAAGCAAGCAAGTATAGTCTTAGTCGTAGTCGTAGTAGTAGTACCTTTAACATTGTTTTTATTAAAGCAGTAACTCAGTATTTAATCTTTCTCTCAGTCTCTGTAATTCTGAGTGAGGGAATTACTTGGTACACTGACAAGAAATAACAGCATAATAACATAACATTACGCAAGTTAACGAAGGTATCTAGTGACCCTGCCTTGATTATTTATATTGACTCACCTTCACCTGAGATATTTAAACGCGTAAAATATAAATAACTTGGGCGGAACTGCAAAGAAGAATTTACAAAGTAGAAACAATAGACAAGTTTTTGACAGACTTCCACTTCCTGACACGAGTAAATAGACTGGGGATATGTTCTTCAATAGAACTGGAGGAGGAATATTATCAACAAGAAACTTAAAAAAAAAAATTTCATCAATAGACAGCTGTACAACATAACCCCACACGGCGCAGTTGGTGGATCGATCGATGACACCCACGCTGAATAAACTTGTAATTCAACGAGTTTATAAAAAAAATTAGTAATTACCATAACAGGAAAGATGGCAATTAAACAGAGACAAAAGAATTAAATGATTTATAACCAAAGAAAATTATATAATAAGAGACATGAGAGAAATTGTGTAAATACTTAGAAGAGGATAATAAATCAAGGATAATGACATAACACATAATAATTACTCACAGTTAATGTGGAGGTAATCAGCCAGGAGGTCTGCGAGGTCCTTGGCGTAGCCCTCGTAGCGCTCGTTGCCGCTGTAGTTGCCGTCCTTCTTCACCATCAAGAACGGCTTTTCCTGAGTCACAGAAAACGTTCACTCAACATTACGCCACCAAAGAAAGTGGGTCGCGCCTTTGATTTTTCCCCGGTGTAACGTAGCTAAACTTATCAGCAGGTACAGGGGAGACTATAACAGCCCTGACATCTTATATTACCTGTTTAAAAGGACTAATATAACAAATTTATACACTATATGGATTTTTAAACACCTCCTACTACCCAGAAAACATAAAAACACATATAACAAGACAACACTGTTTTTATTAGGGTTGAAACTATTAATTACTTTTTTAATTAGTAAATAGAGAGTAATAGCTAGTACTCCTGCTTACCATGATGGTGGTGACGATGTAGGTCTTGTTGGCGGGTACTCTATCAGAGGCCAAACGGATGTACTTGACAGGGATCGTCTCAAACCCTCGAGTGTCACTCCAAGTCCCAATCTGTTGACGAAACAAAACAATAAGTTAATATAGTAACCCATAGAGACGAGCATTTGTGTGTTGTTGTTGTTAGTATTTTATTGTTATTGTTATTATTATTGTTATTGTTATTGTTATTATTATTGTTATTATTATTATTATTATTATTATTATTATTATTATTATTATTATTATTATTATAACATATGGAATAACTAGTTTCTTCTCATATTTTATTTTCGTTTCAATGACGAAGTTGATAATGAGATGTGAGAAATGTAGAGAGAAAAGATAAACTAAATATTATGTAGTGTGGAAGAAAGGAAGATGAAAACGAGATAATAAGAAAATAGGAATAAGAAAAAAGAGAATGAGGAGGATAAAGAATAGAGGACACAACAAATAATAAGAGAAAATGGAGGTAAGGGAAAGTGAGGATGATGAAGAGAATAGCGAGAGAAAATTATAGATTTAACGAAGTAGGAAGGAAGGAGAAATAGGGATGAATTAATGGAGAGAAGGAGGAGGAAATGGAGAAGTAAGAGTAAAACAGAAATGAGATGAAAGAGAAATAGTATAGCATAAAGGAAGAAAGAATAAGAATGAACATCAACAAAGATGATGATAATGATGAGACAATATGCAAGAAAGAAAGGGAGGGAGAGATAATATGATATGGAGAAATAGATAAATGATAAAAGAAGGAAAGACAAGAGGAGAAATAAAGAGAACGGAAGGAGAAGAATGAACAAAACGTGAAAATGAATGAAGGAAGAGGGAAGGTGAAATAACAAAAGGTATAAAGTAAATTGAATGAAGAAATAAATAAGGATGGATGAAGAGGCAAGAATGTTAATAGAATAAACAGGAAATACGAGAAATGAAGAAAAAGGATAAAAAAGAAATGAAAGAGAAAGAGAAATAAGAGAGAATAATGATGAGGGAGGAGGAATAGGTAGAGATAAGGTAATGAAGAAGGGAAGAAGGAAATACAAAAGAGAAGAATGAGGGAGGAGAGATGACGCATTAATAATAATATAAACAAAATGAATAATAAAGATGAAAGAGAGAAACGACAGAGAAAAGAAAGCCATCAACGTATGAGGTAATAAGTGAAAGATGATAATTGAGAAGGATTATCGAAAGATGATAATTATTGGGAGATAATTAAAAGAGATTAGAAAGTCATTAAGATAACATTAGCGAAGAGGAGAAAGATAACAGAGGAAGAATAAGCAGACACCATTAAATAAGGATTAGGAAGCAAGATATAAAAACTAACTGGAGCTACGACGGAAAAGAGAGAGAGAGAGAGAGAGAGAGAGAGAGAGAGAGAGAGAGAGAGAGAGAGAGAGAGAGAGAGAGAGAGAGAGAGAGAGAGGAAATAAAATACCACCAATTTTTCTAAGCTTTCTTCAGGACACATTCGACTCAGAATATGAGAGACAAAAACAAAGAGAACAAGAGAGAAAGAGAGAGACAGACAGAAAGACAGACTGACAGATAAAATGAGAAAATTCATCCCCCCCTCCCCCTTGGGTTTTCGTCAGGAGACACACTCGTCCAGGATGAAGCGAGGAAGTGACGAACGATGAATACCAGAGTACCACCAAAGGCTGAGGTTAAGGATTTTAGTTCCTGGCTTGTCCGTTTTCATTTGCCAGGGACCGTGACCTGAATAAGGGTCTAAAGGGGGGAAGTAAGGGAGTGAGGAGGCTGTGAGGTGGGCGGAAAATTTAAGCTAGGGTGATTTTTTTGGAAGGTGGAAGTGAAAGGGAGGTGAAAAAAATGAGGCGCAGGGCGATTTTTTGGGTAGAGAGGGAGAGAAGAGGGAGAATAGGAGGGTGAAAGGGACGTCTCTCAGTGTTTTGCTTACGTCAGAGATGAATGAAAAGAGTAATGAATAAATATCAAAACGAAAGAAATGGGAATAATTGATGTTTATTATTATTTTTAATTGGGAGAATTTTTTAATTGTGTGAGTATTATTATTATTTTTATATATCCTCTTTACATGTCCGTAAAAAGTCTCTGTGTGTGTTTATTATGTGGCTGTATTTCTCCAGTAAAATATTGTTATTGTTTATGTTATTTCTATTGTAACTTTTATTTTCATTATTGTTTACCTTCTTATTATTACTGTTATTATTAGTAGTAGTAGTAGTAGTAGTAGTAGTAGTAGTAGTAGTAGTAGTAGTAGTATCACTCACCTTATTGATCATAATCCTTGCATTATAAATCATCTTTTGTTACTATTGCTATTACTATTATTCATCTTTGTATTACTATTACTATTTACTCACCTTCTTCCCTGGATGTCTCAGTGTACACAAGTAAGTTATGACCAACTCGACAGTAACACTAGAGTGAGTTTTAGTGTTCAAGATTTAACACAACTTTACTACGCGCAAGACAACACCGCCGGAGGGAGGAGACGCGGTAAAACTCTACGGTCACATCAAGCCACGTTTCACTAACTCTCCCTTATTTTAGCGTTCTCTCATACTCCAAACTTTACGTACATTAGTTTAAGTAATAAATACATGATACAATTGGCCTTAAGTTAGATGAATTACTTAATATTAGTAGAAGTAGTATTTAAGTGCTGTGTCATCTTTATTTACATTTGGAAGATATGTTTTGACACACGTAAATCATAAGTGTCTAGAGGGTGAATCATTATACACTGATGTGTGGATAAGACAGACAGACAGACAGACAGACAGACAGACAGACAGACAGACAGACAGACAGACAGACAGACAGACAGAAAATGAAAGTCAGCCTCCAATATATACCTCAACCTCGAGGATATTAATGAGTAGCTACCATAATCCATACATAAATTTGAATGTAAAGTAAGAATGAAGACTCCCTCACACACACACTGATCTCTCTCTCTCTCTCTCTCTCTCTCTCTCTCAGTAATGTGTCACCTTGATATATTTTGATTTTCTCATTTCCCTATAACAGTTTCCCCACCATCACCACAATATCTCCAACACAATCCCTTCACCATTCACCATAACCTCCCCAACATTGTCACTCCACCCCCAACACAACCTGCCCACCACCATACACTCACATAACACCACCCTCACCCTTCACACCCACCCACAAATTTGCCCCACCTCTCCACCCACTAACACCCCTTCCTACCCACCCTCAATCCCTTCCTCACCTCCCCACCCTCCCATACACCCACTAACTCCCCTACCTCACCTCCCCACCCTGCTCCCCAGTCTACACCCTTTAGTACCCAGCTCATGTATGTAAATGGCGGGAAAATCCAATAGGAGTTCTGGGTTTCCTGAGAACGACGGAACAAACTGTGCTGATTGGCTGAGCTGTGTCGTGATCATACCCGAATACATCGTGTTGTTCTATCCTACTTGGTGATCATACACCTAACCTAACCTAAATGATCCTACATTAAGTGATAATACACACTTAGTAACCAAGAAACATCCAGTGATCACAATCATACAGAGTGACCATTCATACTCTTGGTGATCATACATATATTTATTGAACACACACACACACACACACACACACACACACACACACACACACACACACACACTTAGCAGGGAGTTCACACAGTGTTCCCACCCTCAGTGTCGACCCTCCCCCACCTTCACCCTCACGCTGTAATGTCTAGTATTAACGACACACTGAGTGGGGCGCTGACTCACCTACCCGACAACAGAGTCTTGCCTCACCTGAAGATTAGGCACCCTGCTTATTTCACCTAAAGATTAACAAAGCCTAACCTGACCTAACGTAACCTCACCTCACCTAACTAAACATAATTTAGCCTAATATTTACCTAACCTAACCTAACGTCATCCGTACCTAGCCAAGCCAAACCAAACCTAACATAATCTAACCTAATACTAACCTAAACTAACCAAAACTAACATAACCTAATGCTAACCCAACCTAACCTAACCGAACCCGCCCAGGTAGTGTGTCTGAACTTACTGTAAGGAAAAATAAGTGTTAAAATACTGTGTGTGTGTGTGTGTGTGTGTGTGGTGTGTGTGTGTGTGTGTGTTCAGGTGTGTGTGTGTGTGTGTTTCTGGTCTTGTAGTTCTAACATACACTTATCTTCTTATTGGGGCCGTCAACAACCCCAATACACTGTCACTACACCTCACACACTGTCACTACACCTCGCACACTGTTATTACACCTCACACTGTCACACAACACACACTGTCACCACACACACACACACCACAAACACACACAACACACCACACACACACCGTCACACACTACACACACTGTCACCACACACCACACACATACACCTCACACACTGTCACCACACAAATACACACTGTCACTACACAACACACACTGTCACTACACTCTCACACACTGTCACTACACAACACACACTGTCACACCTCACACACTGTCACACAACACACACTGTCACTACACAACACACACTGTCACTACACACACACTGGCGTCACTACACCTCAAGGTGAACACACACTGTCACTACACAACACACACTGCTCACACAAACACACACTGTCACTACACAACACACACTGTCACACACACACTGTCACTACACAACACACACTGTCACTAGCACACACACTGTCACTATACAACACACACTGTCACACACAACACACACACTGTCACTCACACTACCACACTGTCACTATACAACACACACTGTCACTACACAACACACACTGTCACCACAGTCAACACACACTGTCACTACACTTCACACACTGCTAATACTACACACACACAGTCACTACACAACACACACTGTCATTACACACACACACTGTCACTACACCTCACACACTGTCATATACAACACACACTGTCACTACACAACACACACTGTCACTACACACTCACACACCACACACACAAACACACACTGTCACCACACCCTCACACACTGTCACTATACAACACACTACACAAACACACACCGTCAATACACAACACACACTGTCACTACACAACACACACTG